AGGAGGAAGAGCATGAGGAAGACGAAAGACGACCGATGCAGTGCGGGAGGAGGGCTGGCGAGGAGGGTCGGCACAGTGGGAGTGGAGGTATGGTGGAGGGAACAGGGAGGGGCCGGGTGGAGGGTGGGAGTAGGTTGGGCGGATGTGGGGAGGAGGTCGAGAGGTGGTCTCGTGGGCGGAGGGCGGAGGGCGGATGGAGGGCGGAGGGATGGAGGTGGTCGGGTCGATGGAGGGCGGAGGGAGGTAGGAGGTGACACACGTCCGTGGGGGAGCGAGAGAGAGAGATTGAGAGAGAGCAACTCCCAGGCCAATTGGATGCAGATTAGTTCATTTACACATTACAAGACCTGTGTGTGACAGGAATGACACTTGTAATTGAAGGCGGCGGCTGCTGATCCCAGGCCACCCAACGGCGACACACATACACGCACACACCATCGGCAATCCCTGCTTCTCATCTCGATTTTTTTTTCCCTGCAACCCAATCACCGACTGACCTCCCTCTCCTGCCATTCTAAGAGGTCAGTCCACGTCTGCTCCAGCAGTGAGTATACAACCCTGTGAACTTACTTGCCTTTCTCCTCTGTCGTATTCCTTCTCTCCACGTCCCTCGTCATCCTCCTCTCCCTCCCTCCCTCCCTCCCACCTCCCTCGCACCCTATTGAACTCTACCCCCTACCCCTTTCCTATACCCCCTACCCCTTTCCTTCCCTACTTTCCTCCCTCCCTCCTCTTGTGTACTGCGACTAAATGCGTACGAGTGAGCATGGTTAAGAGAACAGACCAAAAAAGATAAGCTGAAGATCTGAGGAAAATGAACAGGAGTATATCTCCCCCCTTTCCTCTGCGTCCTTTCAGAGCGTGCAAGTGGGCCGTTATGCCACACGTTTTTGTTGGGCAGCAGCTTGCTTGTCGACCACAATCAACGTGGCGGGCCTTGTACCTGAGAGGCACAGCAAAAGAGGGGCTGCAAGAACAAATACTAATTAAAGGGGTACTACCCCAAAGAAAGCCAAAGTAGAGATTGCAAAGAAAGGGTTATATAACGGATCTATTATTGTGTGCTTCAAGATGCATGCTGTATAAGTAAAACTGTGTCATAGTCGGAGTGGCTCGTCTTTATTGGTGTGTGCTTCATTGTCGGCACGCGAGAGAGGTAAAGCTGCTTCTCGATTTTGGATCTACTACTCGTCTCTGGGTGCATCCTCCTGGACATACATCTTGCCGGGTGCATCCTCCTGGACATACATCCTGCTGGATGCATCCTCCTGGACATACATCCTGCTGGGTGCAACAGCAGGGTGTTGTGGAGACCATGTATACAACACACACACACAGACACACACATCGCTAACTCTTGGTCGATGTGGTAAGTCCTTATCCATGTGTCAAATGCATCCTCCTGGGCAGACCGTCTGTCCAGGTTCAACCTCCTCACGATTACCGGTATAGGTGAAAGTCCCCAAAAAACAGTCTCGCAGAGTCATACTTTTTTTTTTTTTTTTTTTTTTTTTTTTTTTTTTTTTTTTT